CCCTTCCTCTTGAGCCAGATTATGAGGACCTTTCTTTACTCCTTAACCTTTTCCTCTTTATCCTAACCTTTAGATCTTCTCTGCCCCCCGCCCCCAACCCTTAACACTAATATTCTTCCAACCCCTTCTCTCACAAAACTCTTTATTTCAGATGATCCTATGCCAACATCTAACCCATCTGCAGTAGTAAGTGTAGTTTTTGACTTGGTTTGAAGCCAAAAGTAAAGTGCAGGTTGGTAAAATTTCAGATTGTTGATTCTATAATAGCATTTACACTTTATTAGGCTTCTGCATAAACATGAACAGATTTCACCATTAACGTAAAGTTGACCAGGCCTACCCCCTTATACCCTCTGTAACATTCTCTCCCTTTACTCACATAACCCATACAAAGGTAAACACCCTCTCCCAGTCCCTATTTGGATTACCCAACCGCCTGGTACTAATACATGGGTACACCTGCCAATCAAATATTTTAACATTTCAATATTTGCAATCCTTTCAAACACTTAACAATTCATATTCATCTGTCAACTCGAAGGAGTGTGGGAGGGGAGTTGTAATAAAACAGGGAGGAGGAATATACAAAACAGAATGCAAAATGAATATTTAAAAATGTGGTCTTTTAAAGTTAAAAATGGAACTTACTTTCACAATTAGGTCCTTGGTTAGGTTCTGGGCAGTTGCAGACCTTTTCCACTGAACAGAAAGCATTTCCAGGACAGTCATCATTCTGGGCACACTGTTTGACCGCCAAGCACTCTCCAGGCCGGTCAGGGGATACGACAGAACCTACATGATGAAAACTAATTATTTGAAATTTGAATAAAACTTTTTTTTCTATGGAAACATCTGACGAGGATTAAAAGTACTTATCAAGCTAAATTTTCCCTGGAACTTGATTTAATATGTTGTGAGCAAGTAAATTCCGAATGTTCACTGTTCAGGTTTAAATCTTGAATCACAGATTCACTCTCCAAATAATGATCTGAATACACATGAATCTTTAACTTTGAATCAGTGATTCAGGATTTGATCCGACTGAAGGTGGTTCAGCGAACTCTCCAATTCATTAAATTTGGTTCTTGGAAACTTTGCATACTTTGTAAATTAAAAGATAAAACATGTTTTGGAAAGATTTTATAAAAAAAGATTTTGAATTGAAAATTTAAGATTTTACCTGACGGACAAGCACATTGATATGAGCCCGGTGTATTCTGGCAGGAGACTCCAAACCCACAGGTTGCTGGGTTTCTACATTCGTCAATATCTAGATAAATGTATTTTGTAAGAAATTAGGAACAGATGTGCCCGTCAATGTTTTGCGGGTGATTAAGACCTTTTTGGAAACCAGGATAAAAACATTTTAAGAGTAGAAAAAGAGATGAATAGGCTATAATAGATGAATAGATAAAGTGGTGAATAGATTAATAGACGAAGGGGTGAATAGATTAATAGACGAAGAGGTCAATAAATGAAAAAATATATACACAAATATGTAGTAAATAGATGAATAGATATATATATAAAATGAATAGATTACATGATGAATAAACGAATAGATGAATAGATGAATAATATGAATAAATGATAAATGTAAATGAATAGATGAATAGATGAATAGATAAATAAATGAATAAATGAGAGGATGAATAAATGAATAAATGAATAGATGAATAAATGAATAAATGAATAAATGAATAAATGAATCACCTATGCATCTAACAAGAGGATTGCCTGTAAACCCTGGTTTACACTGGCAAATAAATGATCCCTTGGTGTTAGTACAGATACTGTTCTCTCCACAACTATTAGCAGCGCACTCATCAACATCAATACATCCTGCTTTCAAGTTCTTAGGATCATAGGTCCACCCATCCTCACACACACAGTACGCCTCATTTTGTTCAGGTCTAACAAAATAAAAAACAACATTAAAAAGATTCCTGACTTTAATACTGTTATAATGATGAAAGTAATCTTTGACCTAAAGCCTAAAATCTTACATTCCACTCTATAAAGTAATTGAGCCTTTTCCACAAGTACAAATTTTCTAATCCCAATATCTTCACAACCTGATGCTTTAAACCTTTGATATTTCAAACTTGGATTATTTGATTTAATAAAAAATATGTTTGAAATATCTAAGGTCTACAACATTAGGTTGCAAAGATATAGAGATGTAGAGAACAACAGTTTGTGAAAAAGACTCAATTTCGATAGCTTCTATTTCGTCAGAAAAAAATGCGGCGTTTTTTTTAAAGGTACCTGCAGAAAGCATGATCACTACAGGTGACCCCCTGACAGGGTTCCCGACAAGGAACATTGGGAGGGTTCCCCATGAAGGAGGAGAGGCAGGAACAGGAAAAAGATCCCGGAGTGTTACGGCACGCTGCATTTGTGCCGCAAATTCCAGGTGTAGCGGCACATTCATCAATATCAAGACAAAGTGTTCCTAAAAATTATATAAAATTTAAAATTACATAAAAATTAAAAATCACATTAATTTGTTTAAAATTTCAATATTTTACCTTTCGGAGTAAATCCAGGGCGGCATGAGCACTCGCCATTGATGCATTGAGCATTATTGGTGCAGTCGAAATTAGTTTTGCACAATGTTCGAACTTCAGTTGCCTCGCACCCGGTTCTACCGTTACCGCTAAATCCTGGAGAGAGAAAAAATAATGAAATAGAAAAATACGGAAAAAGGAAGAAAATCTGTATAAAAAAAAACGAAGTGATTTTATTATTTCTTTGTAAATTTTACCTGGAGGGCACTCACAGACAAATCCTGGATTTGTGTTGCGGCAAACTGCGCCTGACCCGCAAGGATTGGCGTGTGCGCTGCACTCGTCTGTGTCAGAGCAGCCAGTAAATGGGTCACCAGTGAGTCCTACAAAATGGTAACATAAAAAAAATCGAACTCCATAAAAAAATATATATTTAAAACCCTTATTATTGTTTATGACACAAATCGTTTTACAGATATCCTCTGAAATTGGAAACTATCTCAATGAGTTTATAAATTAAAAGCAAAAACAAACAAAATCATAAAGGAAAAAAATAGAATTAGTAAGTAAATTAATAGCTAACAGAATATAAAATAAATAGATTAATGAATGAATACCTGAAAAGATGAAATAATGAATAGATAAATAGAAATTAGAACGGTAAAATGAAAGATCTAATAAATAAAAACCTTGTTCACAAGCGCATTGGTAACTTCCTTCGGTATTTACACAGGTAGCATGCTTTCCACAGGGGGATCTTATACATTCATCAATATCTAGATAAAATAATAATAATAATAATAATAATAATAATAATAATAATAATAATAGCAATAACAATAACAATAATAAGAATAATAATAATAATAATAATCTACCTATGCATTGTTGTGTCGGATTGCCTGTGAATCCCTGAGGGCACTCACACCTATATCCTCGCGTGAAACCTCCCTCCTGATAGCATCTAAACCAAACCAAATAAAAAACAAGTTGAACAGGATAGATTAGGTCGGCCTTAATCCCTGGTTTGTTTCAAAATTTGTCAATTACTATTAATTTAAATTTGTATAGTCATTATCTACATAAAGTACATACTTTTTAAGTATTTTTTTTAATCCAGTACATTTTTTAATTACATATATATAAGCTGACCATTCATTTTAAACATTCTATTTAAATTATAAGAAATGTAAAATGTAATTTCTAAAAGTAATTAAATTAGAACTAATTGTTTCGTACAAATATGTGTGTATCTGTGTAGTGTTTGTATAGTTTAAAATAAAGAGTTATCCCCAAAAATTCTCTTAAAGTTGTCTCTAAAGTGGGTATTCTCAATTTCCATAGATACAGATAAAAAAGTTGAATTTTGAACGCTGGGTCGTTTTTGAAGTGTCTTGGACTTTGATTTTACCTCACAAATAATTTTTTTTTATATCCCTATACATTTACAATTTATAACTACAGTACTCTTGATTTTAGCTTTAGTTCTAAAGTACTAACATTCTCGTCAATTTTTGCGTGATATTAACGTATGTTTACCTTGCGTTTAGTCCACATGGATTTGAACTACAGGCGTTCTGTGCTCCACAGCTGGTATATGGGTCACCTTTGCTACCTAAATAATTAATTTTTTTTACAAATTTTCTTAAAAGATTTTCCCCCACAAAAAAATAGAAAAAGTTGTACAGATTTTGTTTAACAGTTTTTTTCATTCCTGAGATACATTTTTAAAAAAAATTTATTTTTCAAAAAACAAATCATGAAATAACTGTAATAATAATAACTCCAACCTGATGGGCATTCGCAGACAAATCCTCCAAACTGGTTTATGCAGCGGGCTCCTTCGCCGCAGGGACTACTCCGACACTCGTCAATATCCACACACTAGATAGATAGATAGTTAGTTAGATAGATAGAGAGATAGATAGATAGATAGATAGATAGATAGATAGATAGATAGATAGATAGATAGATAGATAGATAGATAGATANTATTGGACTTTATCATTTATTTCTATTCCATTCTATTCTATTCACGGGCCTTTGTATAGATAGATAGATAGATAGATTATTGATAATAACTCTTTTTAAATAAAATACATCTATACTTGAAACATTAATGGATTGTAGTCACCACCTGCGCTAACGATTTAATCATGGTTTTACACCCTTTGATTTTTAACACAAATTTTTTAAAATCTAAAACATTTAGTTAGTTGATATTTTATATCGAAAACATCAATTTATTGTAGTTCTTGAAATTAAGTTTCTTTTACAAACATTTTCTGTTTTAGAATTTTATTCCTCCCGGGCTGGAAACTTTTGAAGGGAAGAAATCATTTCAACTTATTTAAAAGTACTGACCCCGTCGTATGGGTTGCCGGCGTATCCCTCCTGGCATGTACAGGTATAGTTCCCGGCATAGTTGGAGCAGAGGGCGTTCACACCACAAGATCCAGGTAGCAGGCATTCGTCGATATCTAGACAAATATTGATTTGAATAAACGTCAAAACGGCTGAACCGATTAGGCACATATTTTTTGTGTTAAATGATATTCATGACTGCAGTTCTAATTTTAAAATTTAGCCTCTAAAAGGGTGAATGTTAATAAATGGTGAAAAAATATTATTTATAAATCTAAAAAATCTAAAAAACAACGCAAGAAAAAAAAACATTGGAAAAGGAAAGTTATCATCATGAAAACAGAAAAAGGGTAAATGTTAAAATATATTGAACAATGTGAGCATTGAGCACATGACATATGAATCAAAGCTTGAAATGCGAAATGCATAAATGACAAGGGATTGAGAATCAATGAATCCGAGAAACGGATTTTACAAAGACGGGAAAACCTGAGGAAAAAAGAAATAACGGAGTCAACCAATTGTAACAACAACAACAACAAATCTCACAACAACCAAAACTGCAACATCAGGTCGCGAAAAGTAGAAAAAATGACAGGACAAAGAACTGCAAATATTAATGAATTGTTATAGTTTATCATTATTTTTTTTTTTTTAAACAAATAACATTAAATTAGAGAAGATTTCAACCTTTCTTTAGTTTCATTACGAATACTTTTCAGGATAATTTTCAACTTAAAAATATGATAAAATCCTGTTTTAAAGAGAATTAAAAAAAATAAAAGTTATCTCACATATCGTTAAGAAATCGAAAAAAGATTAAAAAACTTTTTAAAAATTTACCTAGGCACTCGACTAATCCATCTCCTTCGAAGCCAGGTTTGCATTTGCAAATATATTCCGCCGGGAGATTGCAACATTCGGCATTCGCCACACATTTCTCCGCAAGGGCAGGTACTGCACACTCATCAATATCTAGAATAGTTTGTTATTAGTATCATTATCATTATTGTAATTATTCAATCTTTAATTGAAGAGTGTAGAGTCGGTAGATAGATAGATAGTTAGTCGGTAGATAGATAAATAGTTAGTCGGTAGATAGATAGATAGTTAGTCGGTAGATAGATAGATAGTTAGTCGGTAGGAAATTTGGAAATTTAAGCTTGATTAAAAATTGAAAGAAGAATTGAATTAAATCATAACTCCGTGATATGTAATACAGGGTTCCCCAAAAAGGATGAGGTTTAAATGGAGATCAAAAAATTGAATTTAACGATCTCAAAAAGAAATTTTGTTTTTTGCCCTGTATACATCTATATGTATCATAAAAAAGACATTCATATATATATATACATATATTCCCTCTGGCCGGCCAAACGGTTGAACCGAATAGGCTGAAATTTGTTGTGGGAACTCATGGGTGGCCGGGAGTCGTCAAAGGCTAAACAAATCTAAATTTTATCTTCAAATAATTAAAAAAAAATTTTCAAAAATATAATTTTTTTTCCACGGGCAATTCCGGGCAAAAAAACTACAGAAATGTCTGCACAAATTCTGAAAAGGTCTCTAAATTCTCATTCTTTGTGTGAACCCTGTATATATAAATACACAATTAAATATTAGGTTTGTTAACAAGAAAAGATAGAATGACAGGAAATGAAAACAAAGGCTGAGATTATGGACAAGTGGAGGAAAGGAGTATTTAATAAATGAAATGTTGACAGTGAATAATGTCGTTCAAGATTAAGGAATTCATAATTAAATGGAATCGATGTTTTCTTATCTTTTATTAATGATTATATGATTAACAAAATCTTTCAACCTATCATTCTCAATATGAAGTCACAAAAATAAATGAATGAATAAATCTGATGATATTTTAAGAAATAAATGATAAAATGAGCAAGTGAAAGGAAGGATAAATGAGTAAATGAAAAATGAATGAGTAAATGAAAGGAAGGATGAATGGGGGATGAATGAAGAATGAATGAAGGATGAATGAAGGATGAATGAAGGATGAATGAAGGATGAATGAAGGATGAATGAAGGATGAATGAAGGATGAATGAAGGATGAAAGGAGGATGAATAAAGGATTAATGAAAGATGAATAAAGGATGAATGAAGGATGAATGAAGGATGAATGAAGGATGAAAGGAGGATGAATGAAGTATGAATGAAGGATGAATGAAGGATGAATAAAGGATAAATAAAGGATGAATGAATTTCTGCTGTTTTCATGATGGCAAATTGGAACCAATGAAGGATAAATGAATTTAAATGAAGGATGAATAAAGGATAAATGAATAAATAAGGTTTAAAAATAAAGGATAAATAAAGGTTAAATGATGTTTGAATGATGGATGAATAATGGATGAATGAGTAAATGAAAGGATGAATGAATAAGAAGGACAGGATATTACGACTTTACGGTTTAGAAGTTAGTAAACCTTAAACAAAGATAAAATAGAGATACTAACAAAATATAGAAATAATATTAATAAAACGTTCCCCCCCTCCTTTCATAATTGAAAACATTGTTTATATTATTTATTATTTACAAATCTATCCCTCCTTTCTAACCCATCATGTCAAATTTATCCATTGTCTGTTTTGAAAAGAGGAGTCTGCTTTTTCTTAAATTTAACCATATTTTGTTATGCAGCAGTAGAACAATACTTACATTTGGTTTCAATATGGGAACAATTAGATTATTGGACTTTATCATTTATTTCTATTCCATTCTATTCTATTCACGGGCCTTTGTACTGCACGTTAAACTAATGTAAATTGTTAACACGTTAAACTAATGTAAATTGTTAACACGTTAAACTAATATAAATTGGTAACACGTTAAACTAATGTAAATTGTTAACACGTTAAACTAATGTAAATTGGTAACACGTTAAACTAATGTAAATTGTTAACACGTTAAACTAATATAAATTGTTAACACGTTAAACTAATGTAAATTGGTAACACATTAAACTAATGTAAATTGGTAACACGTTAAACTGGTGTAAATTGTTAACACGTTAAACTGATGTAAATTGTTAACACGCTAAATTAATGTAAATTGTTAACACGTTAAACTAATGTAAATTGTTAACACTTTAAACTAATGTAAATTGTTAACACGTTAACCCTATTCCTGCTGAAATATGTTACCGGATAATATTTTATAATATGTTACCGGATAATATTTTATAATATGTTACCGGATAATATTTTATAATATGTTACCGGATAATATGTTATAATATGTTACCGGATAATATGTTATAATATGTTATCGGATAATATTTTATAATATGTTACCGGATAACATGTTATAATATGTTACCGGATAAGTTTGCCTTTGTCTTAATCGTGCAATAAGTTAAAAATATAGGAGCTACGAGGTTACAAAGTCGTACTAGTAATGTTGAATAAATTTGACATTCTCCTGAACTGTCTAGTTTGCGGTAAACATCTCATATTATAGTGATGTACCAACTCTTTCTATTCTTTCTATTTATTTTTCATATTTTACCATTTGTAATGTAAAAAACATTTTTAGTTTTTTTAAAGATATTTCTAAAGACATGGTCATGAAGATTTCAAAACTTTTCGTATTGAGTCTTTTGTCAAAAACCTGGTTGATTTGCGTATTTTAGTTCTCAAGCGGAATGAATGGTCAAATCAATTGGATCCTATACTGAATGACGGATCTAGTGAATCTTGTATTCGTGATGAGAGAAACTGATTTACCCACCTTCCGCTCCTTCTTAACCTTTTTTAGGTTTTACCCCACCCCCCTTCTCCTCCTTCTTAACCTTTTTCAAGAACCTAGATCTAGGTTGGTTGAGCTTGATGTAGGTTGAAGAACCTAGATCTAGGTTGGTTGAACTTGATGTAGGTTGAAGAACCTAGATCCAGGTTGGTGGTTGAGCTTGATGTAGGTTGAAGAGTCTAGATCTAGGTTGTTGGTTGAACTTGATGTAGGTTGAAGAACCTAGGTCTAGGTTGGTTGAACTTGATGTAGGTTGAAGAACCTAGATCTAGGTTGGTGGTTGAGCTTGATGTAGGTTGAAGAACCTAGGTCTAGGTTTAATCTCAAGACGTGGGTTAATCCTAGCACTAAACTCCTACACAGTTAAATACAAGCAAAAAGAAGGAAGGAGAAGGAAGGAGAAGGAAGGAGAAGGAAGGAGACGGAAGGAGAAGGAAGGAGAAGAAAGGAGAAGGAAGGAGAATGAAGAAGAAGGAAGGTGAAGGAAGAAGAATGAAGGAGAAGGAAGGAGATTGAAGGAGAAGGAAGGAGAAGAATAAAGAAGGGTAAAGTTCGTTAACTCTATCTAAAACACTAGATACAGGCACAGCTACAGACTTTATAATTTAGAGATTTTTCAAGATTTTAGGAGCATCGTTGCATCATAGCTTCTACAGGCAATTACTCTTTCCAAACTCAAGTTGAAACTTAAACTTGAATATATTACATTATAACCCATCCTTATATATTGAACAAACTATACATATCCATTCCCCCCCCCCCACCACCATCATAAGGACTAGTTGCAGTGCATTATGGCAATGAAATACTCTTTCATTACTTATATCTTTGCATCCAGATTCCAGACCTTAGATAGCTAAAACTATGAATTCTGTTACAATTTTTTTAGTTTTATTTTGTACACCCCGTAAGAAAGGGTTCAATTTAGAAACACCCTGTAAGGTTAGATGGTTCAATTTATATATATTTGTCTATTTGTATATTTATATATTTGTGAGTTAAATAAATAGAGATAAACATGGTCTAACACCCACGCACGCAGAACATTCGAACCAACAATTTGAATATATAGGATTGGGATATANCAGATAGATAGATACAATACAGATGTGAGCAGATAGATAGATACAATACAGATGTGAGCAGATAGATAGATACAATACAGATGTGAGCAGATAGATAGATACAATACAGATGTGAGCAGATAGATAGATACAATACAGATGTGAGCAGATAGATAGATACAATACAGATGTGAGCAGATAGATAGATACAATACAGATGTGAGCAGATAGATAGATACAATACAGATGTGAGCAGATAGATAGATACAATACAGATGTGAGCAGATAGATAGATACAATACAGATGTGAGCAGATAGATAGATACAATACAGATGTGAGCAGATAGCCAGATACAATACAGATGTGAGCAGATAGCCAGATAGAACAAGAAAAACACAGATCTCTATCCATGTCACCAAGGCAGAGTTTTCAAGACAAACTACGCCCTCATAAACCACGATTGATTACTCGCCTCAAACTCTTATTTTACTATCTTTTTATCTTTGAAACCTGATTAAAGGCACAATTTCAAGCGATACTCCATGCAAAGATGGCTTTTCTGGTTGACAACAGTACACTTAAAAGATTTATCTGATCAAGTATGAATTAGTTTGTTTTTAATCTTTGTGACAGAGACAATCTCAGGAACTGACGAGGGTCAACCCAGACCGAAATATATTTTAAATAAATGTGGAACTAACATCTACATTTTTTCTCTACAGAGGTTTGGTCCATCACTATCACCGAATCTTAAATAAATTAATTAGTTATCATTTATCAATGTTTAAAATTTGGAAAACATATCAATTTAGGGTTTCTCTATTAATGAGACATGCGCATTTCTAGTGTAGAATTATATAAAGGAATAATCAACATTAAACACTTTTTTAAAAACGACAATATCTTCCACATTATTGATCAGATAAAGGTTTCAAGGATGCCGGTTCCATTTTCATCCCCATTAGATCGCAAAGAGAAGAATTAGAAAATTAGAGTTTGAGTTCAATAATCAGTTCCGTAGATAGCTATACCAGGAAAAGTTGCTGTTATGAAGAAAGACAAAATATATAAATTGCCAATGCTAAATAAGATATTTGAGGCACCACCATGTCTAAATAAGGCCTGGAACACTGCTTTATT